GAGAGCAGCAGAGGGAGAAGCAGACTCCCCGCAGAGCAGGGAGCCCGATGCGGGGCTCGATCCCAGGACGCTGGGATCATGACCTGAGCCGAAGGCAGAAGCCTAACAGCTGAGCCACCCAGGCGCCCCAAAGAATTTGCTCTTTATTTAGATCTTTGTAGTTGTGTGACTTTGGGCAAGAGACTTAAGATTCTCTAGACTGTTCTGTTAGCTACTTCACGAGCTAGTTGTACGCATTAATTCAAATATCAAGTAAAGGGAAAAATTAATTTATCCCAATACATGGTACATAATAGATACATAACTGCTCACCCCAAGGTGCTCATGGCAAGTGAAGTCTTTACATAAAAACCTAGTTAGCTGATAAATATTTACTTAACATGTCCCAAAGCAGGCACCTGGGTGGCTCAGTTGGTTAAGTGTCTGCCTTCGGTCATGATCCCAGGGTCCTGAGAGCGAGTCCTGTTGTTGGGCTCCCTGCTCGGCAGGGAGTCTGCTTCTCCCTCTGCCCCTCCTCCTACTCGTTCTCTCAATCTCTCTCTCTCTTTCAAACAAATAAATAAAATCTTAAAAATATATAATATATATCCCAAAACCACCAAATGCTACTGGACATTTCTTTGAAATAATAACTTATAATAATCTGCTTTGGCTTTTGGGCTGCAAAACCTAATTTCAGGGGCACCTGGGTTGCTCAGTCGTTAAGCGTCTGCCTTCGGCTCAGGTCATGATCCCAGGGTCCTGGGATCGAGCCCCACATCGGGCTCCCTGCTCAGCAGAGAGCCTGCTTCTCCCTCTCCTTCTGTCTGCCGCTCCCCCTGCTTGTGCTCTCTCTCTCTCTGTCAAATAAATAAATAAAATCTTTTAAAAATAAAAAATAAAACCTAATTTCAATGTCCTGAAGAGAAATGAGGAAGGTAGGATAAGGCAGAGAAGTCAAACATTTTAGTTCAACATGTAAATCTAAATACCTCCTACAAGAACAAATTTAAGATGTTAACCACTTCGACCCACTTACATCAGTGCCCCACTTTAAGTGAAGGACCAAAATATTCTCCTTAATAACTTTGTTAAAGATGGTCTGGCTGTAGACATTATACACGTGACCGTTTCTTATTCCTCATGACTTAAATCACATGAGCAGCAAATACACAGACACGAAAAAGTGTAATGTAACAGGTTTGTACTGTATAGACCTTAGCAATAGACCAAGATACTGTTTTCTGCTCCTTCGTGAATTCCATCAGAGGAAGAAGCTTCAAAATGAACTGATGGTCCGGAACTTATGCCAATATTGTGGTGTATAAAAAATCTTTTTCAATCTATAAATATTCACCAGTATAAACTTCAGTATGAAACTTAAAAAGTTTTCTTTTTAATATACCTAGATAAGAAACTAAAACCTCGACAGAATTAAACATTAGCAGCAAGTACTTTTACTAGAAAACCTCTGTACATGTCTGGTTACTGCAGCTCAAGAAAGCTATAACACAGCATATAACTGCAAGCACAAGGAAAACACTGTAAGATTACGATGCTGCTCCACACCCAGGAATTAGGGACTGACCTTGTGTGCAGGAACATGGAAATGGTAAAATAAGCAAAGGACACAGGCAAAGTCTAAGGAAAAGCATAAAGCAACTGAAGAAACCGAAGCTCACTGTATCTCAAAATACTAGGAGCTCTGCCTTAAAACCTGCTCATGATAACTTGAGAACAAAGCAAAATTAGCTGACTTACTGCCAAGAAATTCAAATAAGTCATAAAGGGTAGATAAATGTATAACTGACAGAATGTCCACGAAGGGAGGAAGGATTGGGAGTGCAGAGAAACACAAGTAGAATTTTTATATCAAGGATCTTGGGGCTGCTACCATTGGCTAAGGACCTGGCTTCTCTATTCATTTTCCACCATTAGAGGTGATTACTACACCAACTCTTTACTTTGAAAATGAATAATTTTTTTTTTAAAGATTT